TGCTGAGGGGGGGAAGGGGGGCGGGGCTGCGTCGGAGCGGATGGAGGTGCTCCGCGGGGTACCGGGTCGGGGAGGGGGGGTCCCCGCAGCCGCTGACGGGGCTCCTTCCTGGACGCCTGCGCCTGACCTTAGCGCCTCTGGTGTTAGGCCGGGAGGAGGGAGAGGAGGAGGGGGACGCGGCTCGGGCGCCCCTCTTCCTCGACCCCCCAGCTCCTGACCTGTTGATGAGTCGCCCTGGAGGGTGCCAGTAGTAGGGCTTGGTTCCCAGCGGACGTTCCCCCTGCTCCTCCTCAATAGGAAGCTCCACTAACACGCCTGCTCCAAACCCGCAGGCGTGGGAATGAAGGGGCGCAGGCAGGGTCCAGCAGCATCCATGGGGAGCCCTGGAGCACCCATCCGTGCAGTCACTGTCCACCTCAGGCTCAGTACAAACCGAGCCTGTCATGCACACGCAGCCTAAAGATTGGCCCCCAGTACACACTTCGGATCACATCGGATCTCTCCCAAACCCGTAGAAATTCTGGCATCCTGCGGGAGCTGGGGTGTGCTGGGTGACAACGTGGATTGGAGGAAGGAGGTGCCCAGCTCAGCCCAAGGCACGGCGCCTGCAGGGTCATTTTCTGTCTCCTGCCACGTCACTCCCTATGCTAAAGGAAAAAAAAACCCCAAAACACAACTTGCTAGCGCCTAAAGCCTAAAGGTGAATCCACTAGGGGAGAGAAAGGGCTGCTGGAAAGAGATGGAAAGACCTATGTCTTATTTCATCGTGTCTTTGTAAACACTGCTAATTCCACATGAAAATACTGTGATTATGTATGTGTTGGTTGAAACTTCACTGGTATGAGTGCCCTAAGGGCGTCCCAGGTGCTGTCACACCAGCGTGTGTGCATGTGTGTGTGTTTCCATGCCTTTAATAAACCTAGATACATCTGCTTTCATATTTTCACTTTCGTTTCTTTGTTACATTTATGCTAGAAACTAAATTAAGTAAAAATCTATAGAAAACATCAGTAGAAAAGTTTTATTTCTACATTAGGCAAATAAATATCCACCTAGTGTTTGATTTTTCTCTTTTTAAATTCTGGGAATATCTTAACCTTCCTGTTTGAGTCCATGAGTGGGGTTTTCCTGCTTCCGGATGGTATCTCACCAGAGTCCATATACACACTCTTAAGAATAGGGTCTTTGTGTGCTGCATCGTATGTAGGGATGCCAACGTCTTTTGAGCCAATGCACCGAGGTACTGGTTCTCTGGTTTGGCAGACTATTTTAATCGTATTTCATGTTTCATATAAGGACAGCACTGAAAATTTGCCATTTTGACACACTCCGTGCTTATAAGTTTTACTGATAAAATTTCCTTCCTTGCCAAACTCAATGCCTTTACTGTAGTCTATCTGCTGTTTGTTTAATGGGCAGGGTCCACCTCTATAAGCACTGTGTTCAGTATTGTTAACTGGAGAAGCCTAAGAACAGTAAGGTGGTGTCTTGGTGTACACTGCTTGTTGGTATATGTATTTTTGAAACGCCTTACAGTTAGTTGGCAAAGAAACTAAAATATTGGGAGTGAGGTTGTGGCAAAGTTCCTATATATAGCACATGTAGAAGAATTTACCTAATTCCCCCCACCCTTACCCCCTTCTGGAGACAAGTTCCCACATTATAGAGTAGGCTGACCTAAAACTATAGGCAGTCCTCCTGCTGTAGCCTCTTTAAGTGCTGGGCTTAAAGGCGTGAGCTACCATGCTTGGCTTAGCTTTTCTTTTGTATAAGAAGTTGTCAGTTGTATAATAAATATTTTGAAGTGACTTTGAAGGTAAACTGTAATGTACTATATTTTGTAGTTGAGCTTTCTACTGTTAGTGTGGTGGGACTTACTTGACTTTAGAGGGGTGGTACCCGGAGGTAATGATTTTTAGATCTTGTTTTCACTGTGAACCAAAAGCTTAAGTTTATATATAAAATGTTACTGAAGCCCACAGCAACACTTACTTATCAGTGATTTTAAGTTTTCCTTAAAAAAAAAAAAGAAAAAAAAGAAAAAAAAAACAAAAAAACAGCTGGGCGTGGTGGCGCAGGCCTTTAATCCCAGCACCTGGGAGGCAGAGGCAGGTGGATCTCTGTGAGTCAAGTCCAGCCTGGTATACATAGTGAGTTCCAGGACAGCTGGGGCTACAGGGAGACCCTGTCTCAAAAAGACCAAAAAAGAAAACACAAAACAAAACAACAAGAAAAACAAACAAAAAACACAGGGAGGTATCCAACAGATGTTTGGTTACTTATTTCTATTATTGGAATAAATTGCTCTCTAGGGAATAGTGTTATTGCTATTTGCTCAACATATTTGCCAGCTGCTGTATCTCTGATAATATTTTTTACTAAATAAGAATTATCCCCCCCCAAAGTAACTGCTGATGAATTTGCTGTCATGTTATACAGAGTGAAGTAAAGAAGTCTTTTATAAGTTCTTTAAAACTTATAAGAAGTTTTAGTTGGTATTATAATGGTTTGCTCATGTCAGAACCAAAAGATTGGACAGATTTATGTCCATAAAATAATTTTTTTCTAGGGCTGGAGAGATGGCTCAGCGGTTAAGAACACTGGTTTTTCTTGTAGAAGACCTGGGTTTGAATCCCAGCATCCACATGGCAGCTAACAACTGTCCATAACTCCAGTCCCAGGGGATCCAACAGCCTCTTCTGTCCTCCACAGGCATTGCATGACACAGGTGTACCTACCTACATGCAGGCAATACACATATACACATAAAAATAATGAAATATTAAAAAATAATTTTTTCTAATCTAAAAGCTGCTGTCACTGCCTTCTTTAGAAAAGCCTTTAAAAAAAAAAACAACAACAACAACAAAAAAAAAACTAGAAATGTGTGCATTATGAGCCCCTTGAAAGCAGATGAATTTTTGTTTTGTTTTGGTTTTTTGAGTCGGGTCTCATTATGTAGCTCAGGATGGCCTGGCCTCAGTGTGCTCTCAAACTCATAGACTCAAACTCACTCTGCCTCCTGAGTGCTGGGATTAAAGGCATGCATCACCACACCTGGCCCTATATTTTGTTTCTTAATGAATGATTAAGGTAAGTCCTAAGAAAACATATTTCCATTTAATTGTAGATTGTAGTTTAGGGTAGTACCCGTACGTATGTAACATAACAGGAGGCCTGGTACATAGTAGGGCTCAAATATATGTTAAACTAATATACAGTCAACAACTCTAGGACTGATGGTTTATGCAGAATTTAATAATTTTGCTTATCATTAAAGGGTAACAGTGTTGTTTGTTTCCTGAGGTGGGGTCTGACTCTAGCTTTGGCTGGCCTGGAGCCTACTATAGCCAATCTGGGCTTGGACTCATGGCAGGCCTCCTGCTTGTCTGGAGTGCTGGGATTGCAGACAAACCACCACGCTTGGCTTCTTATCTGCAGTCTGATTTAAAACTTTGGAATACAGTCTTTTTGTGTACACTGTAAAAATAATCAGATCATATGATTTTTATGCCCTTTTATACTAATCTCTATGATAATTAACACTTTCATCTAGTATTGATCTTCATAAATTATTTTGCTACCTGGATTGTATGTCTTTAGGAATCTTATAAATTCCTCTCTTGCCCTCCATGAAGCTATTGCTGATTATTCATTTGTAGATTTATTTTCATAAATTCTCTTCTTCAGCTGACTTTCTTCAAGA